AGAAGAAGAGGAGGAGGAGGAGGAGGAGGAGGAGGCAGGGTCAGAGGAAGGAGAAGAGAGGGAGAGAAGCGGTATCCACTTCTCCTGTGCTCACAGGAATGGGCATGCACCATGGTTTAGGGTTTCTGTTCTGGCAATAATGCCCGGGGGAACCCCACTCACGGTACGTACGGCCAAGCCAAGCCAACCCAACCCAGCTAGAGAGCAAAAGCTATGTGGCCTCCTATATCTCGTGATATCTTGGCATGCTGCTTGGCATCTTTCTATGACCAAGATAGCAAATTTGACTGCATTGTTTAACTCGTCGGGATTGCTACTCGGTCAAAGTAACATAAAAGAGAAAAGCTTAGCTGAGAATCTACTGCATCTCTTAGGGTTACAGGTAGCCTTTCTGACTTCACCATCGTAACATAAACCACCCTTGATTCCACATCAAAGGCCGTGTAAAGAATGAAGGACAGAGCCAAGCAAGTACACCAGCTAGTTTGACTCGTGGGATAAACATCAAAACCTTTCCAAATTATAATCTGACTGAGGCATTAATTACTTGTGGTAATATGCGAATCCATCTCGCGCACAGACAGAGGCAAGAAGAAGAAGAAGAAGAAGAAGAAGAAGAGTATATATCACGAGAGGAAAGAAAGGAGGAGGAGGAGGAACAGAAATTTAAGAGGAAGGTCGGAAAAGGTGGAGGGGATCAGTTGTCACTGTCGCGAGGGGCCACTGAGTGCGGGAAGTGATGTGACGATTCCTGGGTTTCCCAGAGGGGTAAAGGAAGGGACACCCCCCAACGCACCACCACACTTGCCCACTTCGTATAACCACGCCTTGTTTGTCTCCACCATAGCCTTTTTCCTCTCTCACAACCATAGGCTCTGCGGGAAAGAAGGAACTCGAGAGAGGCGAGCAAGACATGGGAGCTCGGCATCTCTTTAATGGATTTAGGCAAGGTGGATAGCTCCCATGCATCCATGCTTCCCTTTCTTCCATTTTGGAAAAGGGTGAAAGGGTGGTGGCCTTCCCAAATCCCAACCTCACACACTTGTTGACCCCAATTTGGGTGGCCGTCTTCTTGGTAGATTTGTTGCTCACTTTTTTGCACCCTCGAAATTATTCTCCTTTGTTTGGTTGGGTGTCAGTGCGCACTCTCACGAGTACTACTACTCTTCTTTTGTATCATCTGAATTCTTTACCCATACACACACATATGTCATTACAAAAGAAATATAATGGTTGACTAAACTACTAAAAGCCAACAATGAACAATATAAATTCACTACGATTAAGGATTTACGTGATCTACATGCTATTTGTATTTGACTGACGCAGGATAGACATTGGTTTAGTTTACCTCTTCACAATGACCTTTTTCTACTGAATAAGTTGCATTTTTTTTCTCATTACATGGACATGAATTTGTATTGTTGCTACAAATCGCATGTCTTACTGCATGTTAAGTGATCGATTACTTCTAATCAAACACTGAAGAAAGCAACATTGGAGGTGGGGAATGCACATTGAAATGGAGACTATTTTGTTTTTGTTTGATGCATAGCTTATCACATGACAGGAAAATATTTCCATCATCTTGTGGTTATAATCATTACGAGATATTGGTACAATATGAGCATCACATTTATCCTTTACACTATTGCTCAAAAGCACTGAGTAACTCAAACAACACATTCATGGGTGGTGTTCTTCCATTGGCTCCATCTGACTGACAAAAAGAGCCAGTCAAAGCACAAGCGTGAAGGATGAGTGAGTACTTATGGGTGTTAAATTTTCAATGCTCCCAAAAGTACTTAATGATCCCTTTATGATTTCTTTCTTTTCTTATTTGATTCTCTAAATTATGCCAAGAAGAAGAAGAAGGGGAAAAATAACACAAGTTAGAAATTTCACAATCTGCCAAACAAGACAAGACAAATGTAACAAAAGAAAGACTATAATTGCATGCTTAGAGATGCTCAGATTTTGATGTACTTCTGCACTCTTACATGATAAAATTAAACATGAAAACAAAAGGAAAAGAAAAATCCACAATCAAACTATTCAAATCGGTATTCTCCATCTAATCTCGTAAAAGGAAGAAAGTGATTCGAGTCTTCTGTGACCTCAAGGTATTACAGAGGGTGAGTAGAACTTCCCTCTTCTCGAGGGACAAGAAGTAGATGGGGTACAGCTCTTATGTCTCAACTTGAGGGAACAAACACAGGAGGCGCTCCTTCCATTCATCGTCACCCATGGATGCATCTCTTCGACTTGGCAACAAGATGAAAATTATTTGGTATAACAATTAGCGAGTTCTCTATGGTAAATTCTTGAGTTGTACTCTCTTTCACCAAAATGGTAATGGTAGATAATGATCCAATTAACCATCTTAAAAAGGTATTATGACTACAATACTCCATTCTCATTAGTCTTACAACACTAACTTAGTTATCCTAATCTTTTCTGAAAGCACATCTACATAATTTGATCTAAAATTGTGGGTCATCACACATTAAGGTGGCATGTGGATCGCTCCTGTTTCTGATACCTAAAGATTAACAAGAGTTGTCTTGTGTCTTCTTTTGGTTGTTTGTTTGGCTTGCATTGTTTGATCAAAGGTACAATAGGGATTAATGGATGAACATGGGGTTGAAAGGATGATGATGATATTGTTTCCAAAAGAACAAAAATCATACTAAAACTTCTCCTTGGAACTTGTTTTCAAGCATTTATTTCTACATATAAATTAAAAAAATAAAGCGAGAATATTATTTTCGTATACCGTAAAAGATACCGTATTAACGGAAACCTCGTGCACTGAATTTGTTTTTCTTTTTTTCAGAATAATAAAAATGATGATTTCTCACTACAACATACAATCTCACTCTTTAGTTTTCATAACATTTTCTTGTTGAAGTTTGTACAATAATTTAGGGGCCCAAATTAAATGTTAATAAAGATGTCGGATCTGTTGTGGAATATAAAAGTAAAAATTTATTGACCACATAAATATTTATTTTTATCCGATCAATACTGGATGTAATATTAAGGGTACGATGAGAGGACTGATGAGCTATGCCTCACATGCATCATATTAGATTAGGAGTTATGTTTCATACACATCATATATATAGTAATATTTTGGTGTAGTAGATGGATAAATCCTAATATTGATTTATAAGAAACTGATTGATGTATTACTATACAATTAATAGTATCTTTTGTTTATGTTCATATATAGATAATAAGATGAAGTAATCTACCTCTCTTCAGCTAAATAAACCACTTGTATTTGACGTAAACTGTTCATAGCCAGCTGAGCTTAAACTAATCTTGTCTTGCAAGCGATTAGAGTCATCATCTACCATGGTAGAGGATGTGACGCATTCATTATAAATGCTGCAATATTGCAGGCTGGGTTGTACGGCATGCAGGCATGGAATTGGTGATGCTGTTGCTTCAAAGGCAGGTATATGTTATAGTACTCCTAAAGAAAGCTGAAGCCAAGTAATTATAGGACAGGAAATAAGTAGAGGAAGAGGGTGAATAGAGAGGCAAGTGCTGCAACATAGATCTCAAGGAGAGGCTACATTTGAAGCCTACTTGAGCCAGATGTAGCTGATAAGACCAGGGCTATGTGTGTCTTCATGCTGCCTTCTTCCCTCACCTCCCGCTGACCACCTCCAAGTTTCTGATCCCAGTGGAGGAGATGTGGGCCTTTCGGAAAGTGCCATTGGAGCTGCATGCTTCATAGGACGGTCCCTAAAACCTTGCAGTTGCATGCATTTGGCGGTAGGAAGAAGTAACACATCACCTATGCCTTAAAACCATGCAGTTGCATGCGTTTGGTGGTAGGAAGAAGCAACACATCACTCATGCACGCAGGCCTGATGGACAACACATTCATTTGCATTGATTTTGATGTACTCTTTCTCTCTTCGGCTTTTCAAGTTCACAGCAGCATCGGGTAATATCCGGCAAGGAAACCCGTGGAGATCGTTTGAAATTTGAATGTGGCCATGGCGTTTTGCTTTGACATGATTGATGTGAAAATTTTCTCTTGTTTATTCTTTCTGGGTGTCAATCTTTGACTGGTCTTTGTCACTACTTGACAAAAGCTGACTTTAAACCTTAGCCAAACTCTCAACCTGCTGTCTGTAGATCCTCTACTGTTCACTCACTATTGAGTGCCCAATCATATGGACCATCTGTTTGGAGGATAACCCTCATTCATGGACCTAATGAACAGGGACCGTAGGGTTAGTATGTGTTACAGCCAGGACCAGTGACAGACTCCTACACATGTGAAGTCTTGGTCTATGACACCAGCCTTAGGGCAACCTATCTAGGTTGATGCAGCACAATCAACATCTACATTTGGATCAGACAATCTAAAAGTATTGGACCAAGTACAATACATGAGTCCATGCAAGGGTGAGATGAGGACATCCTTCTGTTGCCAAGGTGTGTAGTAAGATAACATGGTGTGCTAAGAATGTTACTGCTTGAAATTTTATTGAGACTCACAGCCTCAGTGAGTCATATAAAAAGCATGGTCTAATCTACAAGGCTTTCATCAACACATAGTTAGTTTAGGAAGGATCAATATATATGCACAATTTAACCCTTGCAGACTGA